GCAAGATTATGATGTCTGTCTCACAAGTAATCGGTATAAATATTTTGAGGTCATCAGCATACAGAAGGAAATCATAAGCAAAATTATTACCAATGTCGTTGACGAAGATGTTAAACAGTACAGGACCAAAGAGAGATCCTTGTGGCACACCAGAGATTACTTCATATTCACTGGGTAAGTGGCCATCTACTCTGACTTGCAAGCGTCTGCCTGTGAGGTATGTACGTATCCAAACTAATGCACGTCCAGCCACACCATATTTACTTAGCTTATCGAAAAGTATTTCGTAGTCAACACAGTCGAAAGCCTTGCTGAAGTCTGTGTAAATGCTGTGTGTGCAGTTGCCGGAATCCATGGAGTTCAGCAGTTTGTCGACGTATATGAACAAATTGGTAGTGGTGGATCTGCCACTAGTAAAGCCATGTTGTTTGGTTGTTATGATGTTTTCAAATGCCTGACGTATCTGACCTCTCAAATAGTTTTGCAAGTGCAGACTGTATGCAGATAGGACGGTAGTTGGTAACCAAGGTCTTGGGCCCCTCTTTATAAATCGGTGAGATGTATGACAGTTTCCAGTTGTTTTATATCCAGTGATTTTGTATTGAGGTTTTGTTTAATAGAACTATGGCTCTTTCAAAAAGTGGTTAAACTCCCGAACAGAAAATCCTAAAATCGGGGTTAAGATACGTATGGCGTGATTGAGAAAGCCCTCTTGAGTAACAATATAAGTATAGCTTTTTGCTGCCGCAAATTTATAGACGGATAACTCATGGTTCCTGCGACTGTCTGTTCCGGGTCAGGCTGCCATACGTCGGAACATCACATCAGTCAAGTCCAACTCCTCACTGGCTGATGTAATTTCCCGACGTGTTCCGACCTGCGCACCATACATGAGTGGAGTCATATTACATCAGCTGCAACATCTACCTTACCAGGATCATAATTAGCAAGGCAAGGCATGCCAAAATTCTCCAATTTAACTGCGAACAGCTGAGCACGATCGCGGAAATGGTTCAGTATATAAGCCGGAAGTCATATTGAGAGATGCGATGCAATGAGCTAACCACACGCTCAGATCGTCTGAGTTGCGCAAACTTCAACTATAGGCTCGTACACAACACTTTGCTATACAAGGTGCGTTCCAAAGTAAAAATTACAAAAGTAACAAAGTAAACTCTAGTGGCGCCATCTATATGTCGACTAGTGCGTTAGAATCTGCTATCCTTTATCGACTTCCAGTAAAAATTTCATCACATTTCTCTTATTGGAAGTGAAGTTATTGTGTTTTAAGTGTCAGTATGTTTTTGCCATCGGTGCGAAAATGAGCTTCGAACAAAGAGCCAACATTAAATTTTGTTTTAAAATTGATAAAACTTTTACCGAAACGTTTCAATTGATGAAACAAGTTTTTGGCGATGATTGCCTATCCCGTAGTGCACGAGTGGTTTCAACGTTTTCAAAGTGGTCATGAGGACATAAATGACGATGAGCCGAAACCCAAAAAATTGCGCCTGCAGAAGTCAAAAGTGAAGACAATGCTGATTTGTTTTTATGATTCCAAGGGTATTGTCCACAAAGAATTTGTTCCACCCGGCCAAAACGTTAATGCGGTATTCTACCTTAGAGTTTTAAAGCGTTTGGTGCGCCGTATTCGACGTGTTCGGCCCGAATATCGCGAAGATGGAAGTTGGCGTTTGTTGCACGATAATGTGCCGTCTCATCGATCGAAGCTTGTGGCCGATTATTTGATCAAAAATCGCATTTTAACAATCAACCCCTCCTCGTATTCACCTGATATGGCACCGTGCGACTTCTACCTTTTCGGAAAAATGCATTTGCCGATAAAAGCAGAGCGTTATGCAGACGTGGAGGCCATTCAAAAGGCTTGTACCGGCATACTGGCGGCCATACCAGGCAACGACCGTGCAAAAAGCAGAAGGAGACCATTTTGAATAAAATTAATTGATTTTGTCGATAAAACCATTTGTTCTGTTTTTTTTTTAAAGTCCTGCTTACTATGGAACGCACCTTGTATTGTCTTATCATTTACAATGTATATATATCATAAATATAATGTATAAGATACGCTGCTTCGTGGTGGAACCATTTGGTACTAGACGACTTTAGTGCATGTCAGGATCTTTGGCACTATCCTGTTCAACGATCGTAAGGGGATGCAGCTGGAACATACATATGTATAATAGTTCGCCTGATATTAGCATCGCTAGTGGTGATCTGATAACTAGCATAACCTGGCGACCTATGTTAACTCTTGCAGTAGACCATCTGCCCAAAATTATCTCGATCGAGAATCCTCTGTACCTTATTTCTGTGGATCACAGTACCTTTGTTAACTTTAACGAATCCAACTGGGCCGGCTTCACAGAATTTAGCAAGACCACCTTCAGATAGATAGATTAATTTTGAGGTATGCACCGCAATGGGTGTTAGAGGAGGGTATTCGTTGGTCATGCAAAGAGGTGGTTAGTATCATGCAGAGACTCATTCCACGCAGGACACATATTTGGTATGTCAAGGTCTATTCTGGATAGGTAGGAGTTTAACCTGCTACAGTATCCAGAACGAAGTTGCGCGAGGGTCACTCTAGATTCGCGAGGCAACTCGAGCTCTGTGTCTGCAATGAGTGGTGGTTTGACTCGTATTACGCCATTCACTGAGAGGGAGTCGGTGAAGGTGTTAATGGCTCCACTGTGAATGGCGGTCAGTGCCTGTCTGAAGTAAGTTGCGTCCGAAGTCTGGTCGGCGTACTGTCTAATGTCGTCGACGTACTCAAGGAAAGACCTCTTGATGTTCCTAGGAGGCGGCTCCCCTTCTAGCAGACGACTGCAGGGGTGGTTTCTACGAAAACAACCCAGCAGAAACTCCTTGGAAAAGAGCTCGTTATGTTCCTTAACCGGAAGCATACGGGCCTTACTGTGTAGGTGTTCGATTGGAGACATCAAGAGGCATCCCGTGATAGTCCGGAGTGCAGTGTTCTGACAGGTCTGGAGCTTCTTCTTCTGCGTAGCACTACATCCAGGCTACCATATTGGGGCTGCATAGTTTAGGACCGGCCGAAATGTTTAGATCCAGTCTGTACTCCTTCGTCCAGTTCGTAAATACGGTCGCTGTGGATTTAGTGGGGAGAGTGTCAGACTCCTTGCAGAGAAGAAGTGAGAAAGATCGGAGGGATAACTGTTTACTTTTGAGCACATACCATCGATTCCATTGCCCGACGTCAATATCGTGCAGTCATCAGCGTACGAGGTCACGAAAATTCCCTCTGGTGGTTGGGGGAGTTTCAAGGTGTAGAAGTTTAACAGTAAAGGGGAGAGGACACCACCCTGCGAAACCCCCTGTTTAATTCTTCTCAGTTTGGAGTTTTGACTTCGAAACAGTACGGATGAATGCCGACCGCTCAAGTAGTTCATGGTCCACCGCTTCAGCCCTGGAGGGAGCGTAGATTGTTCGATGTCTTCAAGTAGCGTTGTGTGATAGACTGTGTCGAAGGCTTTCGACAAGTGCAACGCTACGAGCATCGTTCTCTCGCAGGGTGGCTTCTGGCGATGAAACATTTGGGCGTTTATGACGCTAGGTGCTGTGGTGGTGGTATGCACTTTCCGCAAGCCATGCTGATGTTCTGCTAGACTAAGGTGGTGTGTGAACGTCGGGAGTAACAAGGCCTCAAGTGTCTTTACTACTGGGGAAAGGAGAGTTATCGGACGATAAGACAACAACAACACTCCCCTTTATTGGCGGGTTCCCCAGGCTTCAGTAGTGGCCATCGACAAGTTGAGGACCTTGGTGAGGTAGCTTACTCCCGTCGAGCCTAGATGTTTTAGCATCAGAATGCTTATTCCGTCTGGGCCAATCGATTTGGACGATTTGGCCTTTGTGATGGCCCTCTAAACCTCCCGATCGGTGAAAGTAAGTGGTGCGCAGTCTTTTGGCATTTTGCGCAGCCGTCGGGTAACACATCGTTTGGCCTTGTCAGTCGAAGGGTGCAGTGTAAACTGCCGGCTAAAATAGCTCGCGCACTTCTTCGGATCTGAGGAGGCATGGCCATCGAATTGAATTTCAACCCGATCGTCATGTTTCCTCGGATTTGACAGGGTCTTGACAGTCTCTACAGTTGACTCCAAAGCTTACTTACACCAGTGGAGAGGTTGCAGGACTTCAGGTGCTCTATCCATTTTGTTCGCTTATGATGGCTTACCATTTGCCGAATCTCCAAATTGGGATCCCTTATTCGGGGATCACAGGGATTGGCATGGCGTAAGGTGTCGCGTTCGTTTGCTAGTACAGCTGCTTCGGCTGGGAAATTGAGGCGGAGTTCCGCGATTCTTCCAGCCGGTATGAAGCGAGCAATAGCAGCAGCGATCACCTTGCGGAATTGACGCTCGCCAACGATGACCTCCGAGGGAATGGGTAGTGCGTTGAAGGTGCTCTCGGTAAATTATGTGAAGCCGACCCAGTTAGCTTTGTTAAAGTTAACAAAAGTGCGGTTGTCCACAGAAATAAAGTCGGGAGGTTTCTCGATCGAGATAATTATGGGCAGATGGTCTGATGCGAGAGTTAGCATAGGTCACCAGGTTATACTATTTATCAGACCACCGCTAGCCATGGTAATACCTGGCGAGCTATTACAGGTGCCCATAATTCTGGTGGGGGGGCTTCGTCATTGTGCAGAATGTCGAATCGTCTATCTGCTCCGCCAGCTCCATCCCCCTACGATCGTTTGACTTCGATCGTTAGCACCAAACGGTTTTCACCACGAAGTAGCGCATCTATGTTCGGGTGATATCCTGTTGGGCAACATGTAACTGGGGGGATGTATATGTTAAATATTTCGAGCTCGACATCGCCTGACCGGACAGCTATACCCTGACATTCAAGGGTAGTGTCCCTGCGGTCGTTGTCAACATCGATTAGACGATATTGCACGGTGTTGTGCAATATTAAGGCTAGGCCTCCACCATTATTACATATATACATTTGACAGCTGTAAACATGTGCAGTGTGCACTGTGAAAAGTGCTTCGTAATATCTGAAAATATTACATCAATCGTATATATAAAAGTGAAAGAATATTAAATTAATGCCTCATATAAGTTTCCTTAAAAGAAAATAATAATTCTTATAAGAAAATATAAAGGATGTACAAAGAAAAGTTCGATTAAATTTTGATATTGAACCATAATTGAATTTCGTACAACAAAGAAAGGTGTGTGCGATGTAATATTGTGAGGTGTAATAATAAAAAGCATAACAAACATTAACATTGATTGTGAATTAGACATCATAGAGTGAATGAATGCATTGATAATACACGAAAATAAAAAATTACTCCGGAATTATTTGGAACATATCTTTTTTCCTGTATCGTGTACTTACAAAAAGCCACCCAAAAAAGTAAATACAACACAACAGATTTGTGGTTATTGGTCAGACGTAATCCGGGATAAAACGCAGCCAAGTATTCAATGTGCGGCTTGTCGACGTTGGTTTCACTCAAAGTGCACCAACCTTTCATCCGATGAGATTAAATCCATCGCCAACAGCATTAAGAAAAAAGAAACAGTTTGGAACTGTGACTCATGTGCAAGTGACATTAGTGTTAAGACATGTTATGTATTGGATTCCGATGAGGAGGCATCAGATGATCCGCCACCGTCAAATGATATTGAAACATTACTCAAGAGACACTTTGAACGTTTTACAACAAATTATGAACGTGAGTTCAGGGACCTAAAAAAATCAGTTGTAAGTGAAATCAAGGACTTAAGAAAAGAGGTAAGCAAACGGTCAAAACAAAACGTCTCGCTATCAAATCAATGTTCTGCCCTGGATGACAGACTTACATCAGTTGAAGACAAGCTAAACGTAGATATGAAGCTGCCTACCAGCCAGGAAGAGTTTTTCACTGAACTGTCGGAACGAAAACGCCGTAAAACCAACGTGATTGCCCTAAATATTCCTGAGTCTGATAAAGCTGCTGGAAAGGACCGTTTAGAGGATGACAGAACAAAGTTAGTCACAGCTTTGCCTCCCAGTCTCAAGGATGAGGCCACTGAACACAAGTTACGTAGACTGGGTCGTCCTACACCTGGACGTACACGTCCTCTTCACATTACCACCCGCTCAGCAGCCGATGCACTTTCCATTATCAAATACAGACCAACAGACGAAAACTCAGGTTTTATTTTCAAGACTGATCTAACTCCCTCTCAACAACTTCATCTGAGAAATTTGCGTCAAGAGCTTGATTCAATCGTGAAGAGTAGTGATGACAGTAACACAATTAAATATATCCATGGTGTCCCAAGAATCGTTAAAAGAAATTTTCGTCCGCTCAACGAGCAAGAAGAAAGTATCTTACGTCCACGTCCAAAACTCTCAACATTTCAAACCGCATTAGCGGCTAACCAGTACGACGTTTTATGTATTTCGGAATCCTGGCTTCACTCATCCATATGTGATGGTGAAGTCATTGATTCAACATATAGTATTTACCGTAAAGACCGTGTTTCTCTCATCAACGAGCAGGTGCGTGGTGGTGGTGTCTTCATCGCCTGTAAACGTAGTCTCCATACAGAACAAATTGCAATAACAAACAATGATTTAGAGCAAATATTCATCCGTGTCAAGGGAGCTTCTCGCGATATGATCATCGGCTGCATCTACATACCTCCTCAATCAACTCTTGAGATCTTCGAGTGCCACATAGCTACCGTTTCATTTATAATGGACAAATACCAAAACTCCAACGTCATGATTGTCGGCGACTTCAATATTCCTAGCAGCTTGCCTCGTGTCGACTGTGAAAAGCAACTTTATGATGGATTTGCCTCATTAAACTGCACTCAGCAAAATCACATTCAAAATGCCTGGAACTTAACACTTGACCTTTGTTTCAGTGACATTAACTCTTCTCCGGAACACGCAGTTGCTCTTGTCCCGGAAGATAAGTACCATCCTGCTATCGACATCTTGTTAAATTTTCGGCCGGGGTTGACGCCAGATAATTCGTCATCATACGTATTTAAAAAGGCTAACTACGCAGCCCTTAATACTTCTCTCCTAAGAACGAACTGGATTGACCTCTACAAACTCGAGACTATTGACAGTAAGTTGGACTTTCTCTATACAAAATCTTTGAAGGTGTAAACCAATTTGTTCCAGTACACGTACACAAGCCGAGTAACTATCCATCTTGGTTCTCACATGATCTCATTCACAAAGTCAAACAGAAGAAATCTGCACACCTGATATATAAAATTCGGAAAACTAAGCCAAATTATTTACGATTCAGCAGGTTAAGATTGGAATGCAAAAAGTTAAATATCGAATGCTACAAAAGTTATGTCGACAAGGTAGAGGACAAACTGCAATCGGAGATCAAAGCATTCTGGAATTTTATCAAGGACAAAAACCGTTGCACCGGTGACATACCATCTTCCGTAGCCTGGAATGACCGCTCAGCAGATACGGGACCAGGTATCAGTAACCTCTTTGCATCCTTCTTCCACAGCATCTACGCGCCATCGAATAGCAACGACCCAGGTATTGCAACCTTCAATCCTGGTACACAGCGCACACACTTGGATGCCCTGACAGTGACCTACGATGCAGTACTCAAAGAACTCCTTGCTCTCGACCCCAGCAAAGGTGCAGGCCCCGATGGTTTGCCTAACATATTCTTCAAAAACTGTGCGGTAGGCCTATGTGAGCCTTTGACACATATATTTGGCGAATCTCATCACCATGGTACCTTCCCGACCTACTGGAAACTGTCATACATCTCACCGATTCATAAAGAGGGGCCCAAGACCTTGGTTACCAACTACCGTTCTATCTGCATACAGTCTGCACTTGCAAAACTATGTGAGGTTAGTGCTTCCACAGATACGTCAAGCATTTGAAAACATCATAACAACCAAACAACATAGCTTTACTGGTGGCAGATCCACCACTACCAATGTGTTCATATACGTCGACAAACTGCTGAACTCCATGGATTCCGGATGCTGTGTGTGCAGCATTTACACAGACTTCAGCAAGGCTTTCGACCGTGTTGACTGCGAAATACTTTTAGATAAGCTAAGTAAATATAGTGTGTCTGGACGTGCATTAGCTTGGATACGTACATGCCTCACAGACAGACGCTTGCAAGTCAGAGTAGATGGCCACTTACCCAGTGAATATGAAGTAATCTCTGGTGTGCCACAAGGATCTCTCTTTGGTCCTGTACTGTTTAACATCTTCGTCAACGACATTGGTAATAATTTTGCTTCTGATTTCCTTCTGTATGCTGATGACCTCGAAATATTTATACCGATTACTTGTGAGACAGACATCATAATCTTGCAACAAGACATAAATACCCTCAGTGACTGGTGTCGAGTGAACAAGCTGGATCTCAACGTAAACAAATGTGCGGCCGTATCTTTCGCTCGCTCACACTCACCGATCCGCACGAGCTACAAACTTGATGGGCTTGAGATAGCGGAGGTCGAGAACATAAAAGACTTAGGTATCATTGTTGATAATAAGCTCACCTTCTCACACCACGCAGACAAAATTACATCAAAGGCTTTCAAAGCCCTTGGATTTATACTGAGGAGTGGTAAAGATTTCAAAAACCGTTGGACACTCATTAGACTATTCAAGTCACTTGTACTACCAATTTTGGAATATGGTTCGGTAATCTGGTCTCCCTACACTAACACGACAATCGATAAAGTTGAAAAGGTACAGCGAACATTCTGTAAGTCACTGGCCTATAAACTATCTTCACCAATTCACATCTGCTCTACTGATGAGGTCTACCAGTGCTACTGTATAAACAAACTGTCTTCTCGTCGACAGGTCGCTGACCTCTGCTTTTTCTACAAAGTAGTCAATAACATCACTGATGCTCATGAGATCCTAAAACCAGTTTTGAACTCGCCCTGCTGGTCTTACCCTGAGGCGAAATAGATTACTAAAAACATCGAAATAAAAGAAAAATTATGTTGTCCATGGTCCTCAGAATAGACTGGCTAATTTAGTAAATTCACTTCAAGGTGAAATTGATTTCTATGGAGGAACATACGCTGCTTTTACCGAAAACACCAAGAGACACCTGCTCGTCTGAATTACATCTAAATCAAGTCTGAATTACATATTAACTTACAATTATTAAAATATTTTCCAGATATTACACTAATATACCCTAGCCACTTTTGTATAATACTTTAATTCTTTATTATATCTATGTATATTGCCGATTGGCGTTTAAATAAATAAATAAATAAATTATCTTGCACGCGATCCTTACATAAAACGTTGAAACCTGCACAACTAAGAAGATCAGGAGGGGTTGGTCAGAATGGGAGTTATGCTGTCTGTGTGAGCTCCTTAGGGCCTGGGCAGGTCTTAAGATGGCTCCATCCATTGCATGTATTGCACCTAACCGAGGTGGAGTTTGGATGGAGCCTCGGGGGCCGGGTTGGACTCGATGCCAGCACGGGTCAGGAGGATACGGAGCAACCCTTCTGCTAAGCGTTGCTCCAATGATGACAAACTGAACCTAGAACTTACCGATCCAAACAGGGTTAGATCGCCGAAATAACAGCCCTTGGCCGGATAAAATCCGGGTCAAGTCCGGTAAGGTAGAACCGGCTGTTTTGGGAACTGTCCCTAAGTCATATCAACTCATCTAGCCCAAGCATGTTATAAACTCCAATATTCTGCTGGGTGCTAGTGAAGCGATACAATCCCTGTTTGGAAACATGGATCCCATTGCCTTGATTCTGCGTCTGCAGACTTCTGTGCAGTTCCTAATCAGATGTTCTGTGGTTTCCGGCTCCATGTCGCAAGACCGGCAGTTTGCAGAAAAGGATAAGCCCATGTTGAAGAGATGGTTCTTAAGCCTGCAATGGCCGGTGTAGAATGCGACAAGCAGCCGGAATTTGTTCCTCGGGAGATTAATTACGGCTTTAAACTGTTTGAGGTCATAACCCCCCATTAGCAACCTGGCATGAAAGACCACCTTCACCGCGCTTTCATTCCTACGGACGTAATCGTTGGCGTCAATTTCGCAATGTGATCGCAGCTGCTACCGCTCGCTTCATCCCGGCTGGAAGAATCACGGAACGCCCCAATTTCCTAGCCGATACAGCTGTTTTAGGTAACGAGCAGGACACCTTACTCCATGCCGATCCCTGTGATCCCCGAATAAGGGATATCAATTTGGAGATTCGACAAATGGTTAACCAGCATAAGAGGGCAAAGTGGGTAGAGCACCTCAAGTCTTGTTATCTCTCCACCAATGTGAGTAAGCTTTGGACTACTGTCAAGGCCTTGTCAAATCCGTAGAGATATGACGACCGTGTTGAAATCTAATTCAATCGCCAAGCCTCCTCGGACCCAAAGAAGTGCGTGAGCTATTTTAGCCGGCAGTTCACATTACACCCTTCGGCAGACAAGGCCAAACGATGTGTTACCCGACGGCTACGCAAAATGCTAAAAGACTGCGTGCCACTTACTTCCACCAATGCTTAGGTTCGGAGTGTCATCAACAAGGCCCATTGGCCCAGATGGAACATGCTGTTGCTAAAGCACCTAGGCTTGAAGGGAACAAGTTTCCGTTCCCACAGCAGTCGTGTCTACGTTACCGGAACGGACCCGGTTTTTTTTATCCGGCAAGGACTATCAACTCAGCAGAATTCTTCCGCTACAACAACAACAACGGGAACAGGCTTCCTAACCAAGGTCCTCAACCAGTCACTGATCACTCTTCTTATACCCGATATGTGGAAAGTCAGAAGAGTGATCCCACTACTGAAACTTGGAAAACCCGCCAACAAAGGGGAGTCTTATCGTTCGATAAATCTCCTTTTCCCAGTAGTAAAGACACTTGAATCCTTGCTACTTTCGACGTTCACTCAACGCTCGATTCTAGCAGACCGCCAGCTCACTTCCGCAAAATGCACAGTAAAACCACAGCAATTAGCGTCATAAACGACCCGATAGTTCATGGCCTAAACCAAAATCCACCCTGTGAGAGGATGATCCTCGTAGCGTTGCATATGACACATGCAATCATACGACGCTACTTGATTACATGAAACAATCAATCGCTCCCTCCAGTGTTGAAGAGGTGGACTATGAATTATGTGTGCAGTCGGCAATCATCCGTACTGTTTCGAGATCAAAAGTCTAAACTAAGAAGAATTAAATAAGGGAACCCGTATACTTGTGTCCGCACTCTGGACTATCACGGGATGGCTCTTGATGTCTCCGGTCTAGCACATACGCAGCGAGGCACTTATGCTTTCGGTTAAGGAACGTAACGAGCTCCTCTCCAAACAGTATCTGTTGGGATGTTTTCGCAGAAAAGAAATGAATGACATACTTGGAGTGACGAAAATGATTCACAGAATTTAAGGTAACAGAGTTCTCACTGGGTCTTTTATTTCGTGTTCACCTACCCAGTCGCAGTTCCTCTCATGCCCACCACTGGAGTTAACACAACCACCAATAAGTATTTGGTTGAGGGTTTTGGATACATAAGTAAGGAAAATGCACAAGTAAGCATGACGTGTACCGACAACTGACTAATTGCGAAGCACTGCACCGATGTGGTCTGATAGACGTAACTTCCGAAAATTAGATTTCGCGACACAAAATGTGGCATCACTTATATTTGTCATAAATGTAAACACACAAATCTCTTGTACCTGTGAGTGGGCCAAGTGTTTTGAAAATATCCTTTTTTCTTCGAAACTGCGCAATGAACCCATACTTTGGATGTATTTCAATGTGTACAGTCTAATTAAAGATATATTAAGTGAAAAATGCGCGCAAAGTGTGTTAAACATAGTGAAATAGATTGCATTAATTTTAAAATTTTAGGACTTTAATTACAAATATCTCGAAAACTATAAGTCTGAGGCGGGTGTGTGTAAAATATTTTTTCTGGAATCTCCTCTATCCGTCAATAGCATCGTCCTCCTCTATTGGAAGCGAGAAGGAAATGAGGCTAATTGGCCTTAAAGATTTTTACATTGAATACTACCTCAGGTAAAAAGATTACCTGTGCTATTCTTCATGGTTCAGGAATATAATCCTAAACTGTCACTGCAACTGGTGTTTGACCTCTATTTTTAGTGCGAATTTTGTGATTTCGCCGTTGTCAAGGCTTTATAACAACGCACCGAGCCTATAGTTCAGCCAGAACCCATCTTTTGAATGTTCTTATAAGACTTTATCGATGCAGATGTTGAGCATTCAGTCAGAGACGCAGCCTTTTCGCCGCCTCGCATTTCGGTCAGGGTTTCGTTAACCAGTTTCGCTACTCCGTTTAGCAATGGTCGCGCACTATTCGGTCTCTCTGAGGCAGGACTTGCATTATAAATGCTGTCCTTTACCCTGTTCAGAGAAAGTTTCTATGCCTCCTCTGGAGTTTTTCCATCCTTTAAATATATTATGCTGGCACCACTTAGTTCCATCCTGCGAGTTTCATCAGGGCCACCGGGACAACCTGCTGCTTGTAGAGTATGCTATTTGCCTTCCTTTCTTCTTTTTGTGCACACCTCCGGTACAGGCCCGTTGTGATTCGCCCGATACCGAGCAGCTGTGCTTGCTGGAGGAGTTGTCGTGGGGTTTTAGCCCCCGGTTTTATGTGTTTTTGATGTGGTTGGTTTTTCTGGTGTCCATCTGTTTCTTTCGACCTTAGATCATCGAGAAGATGATTGTTGAGTCCCTGTTTACAAAAGCAACACAAAGGTCCGCGCGCCCTGAGCCTAACGACATGGCTTTGGCTGCAAATAATCCTATAGGCAGAGGAGTCGCAGAAGAACACCCTAGGATTAGGAGGTGAAAGCACTTAACCGTCGCACATATGCGGCCTGTAGCAACACGCCTGAGGATTGATTTACAGTACCTGCACGCTAGTTGGAGAGACCTAAAATGCTTTGCAACTTAAGCCTCTGCACCACGTAAAGATCACAATGGAAGGATTCGCATAATTTTACACAATTTCGTTTTCTTATTTAATTTTTACATCTTTCGCGTAGACCTCCTTCCATTTTAAAAAGATTAGACTTTTCAGATAGCTTTATGCCATTTATGACTTGAACAAAGTCAGCCAAATGACCACCACGTTCCTTTTGCATATTTCCACGCGTTTACGCGGATATAGCGCGATAAATGTTGCTCGCCGTCCGCGTCGATTTCACTAAATTCCGGGGAAAAAGTCGGTTACGATCATTTCGAAAGAAATAAGGCCCGATGACTCCGCCATGCAACAATCCGCACCAACCGGTAAATTTTTGGGGTTGCAAAATCACCCCAATAGTGATAAAGTTTTATACACAATCCGTAAGCAGGCATGACCGCCACGCCTCGCTCAACTGTGCTCAACGCAATTATGTTCTCAATGCTCGTAACTCTTCCCTTGACTTATGTTTCAGTGATATTGACTCATCTCCAGAACGCCCACTTGCTCAGGTCTCAGCAGATAAATATCATCCTGCCTTGGATATCACGCTCAACTTTCAGCCTGGACTGGTCCCAAACAACTCTTCTTCCTGCTTATTCAAAAGGCTAACTACGCTTAGCTCAACACCTTCTACCTGAGAACAAATTGGATTGACCTCTACAAACTCGAAACAATTGATAGTAAGCTAGACTTTTTCTACATACAAATCTTTGAAGCGTAAACCAGTTCGTTCCAATACATACGCATAAACACAGTAACTACCCACCCTGGTTCTCAAAAGATCTCATTCACAAAATTAAATTGAAGAAGTCAGCGCACGTGTTGTATTAGATAATAAAAACTAAGTCAAATTATACGATTATCTCTCTCTT